GACACACACACACACACACACACACACACACACACACACACACACACACACACGAGAGAGAGAAAGAGAGCGAGAGAGAGGCAGGTAGGGAGAGAAAAAGACGGAGAGGGAGAGAAAGGGTGAAAATGCAAGGAAAGACTGCGAGTAAGAGCTGGAAGAGAAAATGAGAGAGGGGCGGGCAGAGCGATTGAGAACCATCACAAAAAAGGAACGGAGGGATAGCAAGAGGGCCTTGTCAGAGAGAGGGCAACATCTAGCGATCAAGGCGTGATAGAGGGCGAGCACTGCAACACAAACAGTTATTGTTCATACAAGGTATTAATATTGTTCGCATAACGTGGAAACTCACCAGGGTGTCCAATTCGGGGTTGGACGTATAATACGGTCTCTCTTGTCGTATCTAAAAACAACAACAAGGAAAACCCGGGTATTAACGGTGGTCAATTCAGGCGCATCGCCCACAAGCTCGTAAACACGGGCGGACATGATGCGCTGCGCCCGCATGCAGGGCAGACAGCTAGCATAATTGCCAAGAATAAATTACAAACGGTCGCCATCGTTAGCGACGGCGACGATGAATTTTTCAGGTGGATCAAATCGCGCAGAGCAATAGGAGAGAACCCAACGCGACGATGTTACGAGTAGCCTACACGAGCATTCCCCGCGGTTATTCACCAATGGCTCCCATTGTGTGAGAGTGTGCGTGTGCCCTACGTCACCGTTGTACGTGTGGTATTCTTCGAGACGTAACCACGATATACATGTAGCATGCGGTTATATGATCATGGCTATGCAAATCACTGCAATAATTTATCCTTATGGCTGTAAATGCAATCAAGGATACCATTCTACAATAATATATATATATATATATATATATATGCGTGTGTGTGTGCGTGCATGCATGCGTGCGTGCGTGAGTGTGTGTGCGTGTAAAGGCAGGGAGCAATAGAATATTAAATTATGTGTAGTAATTAGTTGAACAAAATTTAGCTGTAAAATTTGATGTTTTTACTTATAGGTTTTTATTTTATTTTAAATTCCTAAATACGAAAAGGCCTTCCGAAATTTACTACTTTACCTTTATTGGTTATTGTTTACAATCACGCCACTATTATTACGTAAACTGTAGATTAGAAATGCTTTAATTGGGAACAAGTACCGTGTCGTTGTTGTTAACATTCTTTTGGAAAATGCCTATATAAATCTTAAAACACAGGCTCAGATGCACACAGGGCAATTCGTTGAGTAGCCATTACAGCGCAGACGCGCACGCGAGTGCATACATTCACCGACACGAGTTAACAGATGTAGAAACTCTGTCTGGATAAGCCACGCGCTGTCACTATCAACTGCTATCAGCCTCATATGCCTGCGTTTGACACCAAGGTCTTAAGATTATCGAGATGAACAACTTGTCCTTCGAGCCGCGTCGACACCCGCCCGTGTAATATATCATGATAACTTCGATAGTCGTATATAGTTAGAACATGGCCCTACTCTCATAATACGCCGCATGTTGTGTTGAGTTCGCTGTTCGAGCGCCCACCCGTCATTGCCCACATCACTCTATACAAGGCGTCAATAACGACGTTTTTAGACAGTACACTTGTACTTTGCCTCCCGTGCGCTGAACTTGAGAATTTTCTCTGTGTGTGCGTGTGTGTGTTTGTCGGGCAGTACAGGAATTGGGGGCTCTATGCTGTATCGAGGGAGACGACATGAAATTATACGAAGTAAATCGGAGGCACTTTTTGAGCCCTAGGAAAAGCCCTCATGTATATTTCATGACCATGACGTTTTGATGCGACCCGGTGTAAAAATAATATTCATGCATGAATGTAGAGATTTTCGATCTGATTCCGAGACTGCCATAACCAAACGTTACACCAACCGGCAATTTTGCGAGGCTCGATAAAACCCTAAAACTCTACATCGATAGCGCGTGTATTATTTTTAGCTAAATTCATACACGCTTCCGCGGATACGCGCAAATCAACCTCGGAATGAAATACATTTATTCTATGAATCACCGGCAGCACTCCAGAAAAAATGAATCTCTTCATACGTGGCTAATACGCTAAAATTATATGCGTGGAGCAGCAGTCGCCGCGCAGCCGCGTAACTATATTGGGTAGCCATCGCCGGCTTATAAATGAGTCGCCCCTCGAGTTGTGTCACAAATTGATAAATGTTATGCATTTTACCACGATGCTGTTCAGTGTTGTTTCTCCATGTGGTGATGCGTGTGTATACACACACACGCACGCACGCACGCGCACGCGCACAAGCACAAGCACGCACACACGCACACACGCACGCACGTACGCACGCATATATATATATATATATATATATATATATATGTTATAATATATTATATTAAAAATTAAAATGTATAATATATATATAATAATAATATAGTATGATATATAACACGGCGGTGATAATATTCATACTGTAGGCATCGCTCGTGCGTACACGGCGACTGCCGTAGCAG